GCGAATTGTGCAGAAGGTCACCCTAATGCTCGGAAAGTTCCTATAGGAATCCATTTTGGGTTTCCTCATGTCGGTTTCATCCTTCTAAGTGTTAGAAGTCGATACCGCACACGCGAAACTCCAAAAGAGGACGGAAATAGGTCGAACTAAAACGAGACGGGCACCACTTCTAAGGTGCTAAGATAGTCACAGGAAGACCCCTAAGGCTAGATCCTAATTCCTACGAGAAATACTAGACCTCACGAAAATTGAGGTCAACAACGGGTTAGACCTCGCAGTCGGCTTTTGTGCTAAGCTTTTTTCCACCGCTACCCCTCCCTAACCCCAGCGAAAATTTTCTTCGAATCCTTTTCTCTTCTTCGTCGATTGTGCCTCTCTCCAACCTTCTTCCTCCTCTTCTCCCTCTTCTCTGTTTGCTCGGTTACTTTTCTCCTCTTCCTCCTCTTCTGTTCGCGGCTGGTATGCTTCACTTCTCTTCTCCTCTCTTCTCTTTTGTTCGCTCTTGGTTGCCAGATTTTGGTAACTGTATGCGTAGCAGCTTGTTGGTTTATGTTGGCGTTGGGTTGGGATTTGTTTGTGTATGTGGTAATGCTCTTGGTGGCAAAATCTTTGGTTTGCTAATTTGGTAAAAAAAAAAAAAGGATTTTTAGTGGGTTGGATTTGTTTGTATATGTTGTATGCTCCTCTCATACTAAAAAAATATCATCATTATTTTACTTGTAATTTTTTAAGCATTTTTTTTTCTTTAGCACTTTCGGTACTCACTGTTAAGTGAGTTGTGTGTCTGAACTTCTGTTATGTTTTGAAATAAATTTTTTTTCTGAAGTATCAAATATGTGGCTGTCACAGTTTTGTTTGAAATGTCTTTACTAAGCAATTACAAAACAGTTATTTTTCCCGAAACAACTGTTTTACAACAGTTTTCACACAGCTGCAACAAACAACCACAACTTCCCCACGACAGCTTCTTGGGGCAGCACAACTGCAATTGAAAAGCTAAGAAGCTGCAGCTGCCCTAAACAGACCCTTAGTGAAGTGAAGCGGTAGTCACACGCTTTGCTTCGCTTTGATCATAAAGCGCATTTTTAAAAACATTGGGTAATTTGCTGAGGCCTAACTATTTTTCTGCCCCAAATCCACTTGAGTTTGTAGCATATTTAGCATGCTTTATAGCATTAACTAAGTTCTATTGGCCATTTTATTCATTAGTAATGTGTTGGGCCTTGATTTAACATGGAGTAGATCATTCTTTTTTCAAAAATTGGAAATTATGGTTGTAAACGCCTGATATCTCTTGTATTTCTTTTCCTCTGGCATTGAAGCAATACATGTAGATAAATGCCAAGGAAATAGTCTTTTTCTTGCTGTCTTGTCTATGGAATTTCTCTTTATAATGATAGAACCTACTACCCTTTTTTGTGTCAAATCTCTTTTGGTGATTGATGGATTTGGAAGATTAAAAGGGATGTAGAGAAAATTTACGCACCCAACTAGTTGCTTGAAGAGTGCAGGAAGTACTCTGATTACGCAAACTCATATAACCACCTCATAGTTACTTTATTATTAATTTTCATTTGTCAAGACTCAACGATTTGAAAGCAAGCCATGATCCCCATTTTCCTTTGCAAAAATTCAATGGGAAACTATTTCATTCTGTGAAGACATTTTAATGAACATAAAATTCATGGAAAAAGGATGCAGAGATGTTAGGTAATGCATCAACTAGATGATGAAAGAGTTAGCACATAATTAGTAGGACAAATTCTCATTGAAGAAGCCCTTCTCAGCTGTAAATAGCTAGAGAAAGGCTGCTCCTCATCCTCATTTTTCATTGGCAAAAAGTGCTGGGTGCTGAGTGGTGAAGGTTTATTCTAAGTTACCCACAGCGTATCTTCTCCCATCAATATTGCATTCATAGTTTTCGTGCTAGTTCAAATAATCATTGAATTACTTGTCAAAGTGTGATGGCCTTTGGCATATATACCTCGCACAGCTTCACTATATATATCTACCGGGTTTTTTCATTATGTTTTAAAAATATTTATGTATCTGTCAAGCGTTTCTTGTTGTGAAAAACATGAGCATACTGTTATCTATTAACCTCTTTATTCATGCTTGCAGCATACCACAAATACTCCCATGTGGTTATTCCATGTTATGCATTTAGTGTTTTAGAGAAATATTTTATTTTTTCCTATTGTTTGATTGCTTGGTTCTATCCTGACGTTCTTTTTTGTTTCTTCTGTTTTTTTTTTCTATTCGCTGTTTCCATTACAATTTCAAAACATATGTGCTACGTGCTTAGCCATACTGCTAAATGAGGTATGTGCAGTGTTGGCTGTTCGCGTTCTTAAATTCTTTCACTGCAGCTAAATAATTTGATTGCACATCTTTAACATTGCAAGCAGCTCAGGTTGGTCTGTTCTATGAGCTTATGATCTTAAATTTCCTCTTTTCATTCATATTTATCATTCTTGCAGCTAAACTCGAAGGTAATTGTTTTTGGGGGAAAGTACCAATCGAATCCCTCTATTCATCTCTAGAGAAGTGTGTTACCTTAAGTTTGGGACACAGATCTGAGATGATTTCCGCCATAGATATGCACCCTAGTTCATTGAAGGTATTGCACTCGCAAGCAGTTTGCTAACAAATTGGCTTAGATTTTGTGATAATGAATAGGCAATTTCTTAGTTTTGTATGCTCGTGATTTACATCTTTTTAATATTATGTGGGGGCTTACTTGAAAATAATTTAAATATGCACACATACCTTGAAAACAAAAATTTTTCAATTTCTAAACTTGTGGTTTTTTTAATAGATTTTTCTTCGCTGAAAACTGTCTTCATTTTTATTCCTAATCTAGTTCTTCTCTAAATGGAATCGTGGTTCCCAACCCATTAACGAAAACTATAGGTTAGGTGCGAGAAGTCATTGGTAAAGTAACACTACATGTTAGGACACAGACTTGATAAGCCATGAAAATAATGAACAGAAAGTACCGATCAGACAATTACTTGTATGTATTGATATGTGAAAAATATGAAATTGTTTGTGCACTATATCTTGAATGTTGCTTAGTATTGCATCAAACAAAAACAAAGTTATTAACAGAGAATGATTGGATGAAAAATGAGAGAAAGTAAACAAAGCATTATTAACTGAAAATGATAGTATCAAAGTGTCATATCATCTCTGTATTGGTTTTGGCAATTTCATGTTTTATAGTCATCACCACATTTTAATCTTGGATAAATGTTGGACTGTATTCGACATAACAGCCACCTAACAATGCATTGTTAAAGGCTAGATTGCTCTAACTTGACAATTATGAAGATTTGGAACTCTTGTCTCCTTTAAAGCTCATCACATGAGAATTCTTTTTTTTTCCGCCCAGATTATCATCATCTATCAGCTTAACTCACGTAATATGACATTTCTTACATTTGAACTTTAGAGTTATTATTGATAGCATTTGAAACTTTATGATGTATACATGCCAACACCCATCTATATGCACCTTTACTAATGCATGCTCTAGTAACATATGTGTTATATAAATTTCTGAGCTTCTAACCTAAACTCTAACTAACAAGCCTTTATCCCTACTACATGAATCCTTTGTCTCTATTGTCCTATTGAGTGTTATATTTTTGTTTAATTCTAATACATTAAGATCATTTATACAATATGCCCAAGTCTTTTTATGCCTCCCTCTATCTTTTTAACACAAGTCAAATCTTTAGCATCTACTCTCCTAACTCAGTCATTAGATGGTCGATGTTTAATCTTACCAATCCATCTAAGGCGACACCCTATTCTTGTCTGCCAATGGAGTTAGTCCAACCTTTTTATGGATATATTCATTTCACATTTTTTCTCTAAGTATAAAGTGACTCGTCCACCTGAGCATTCTCATTTCAACAACACTTAACTTAATTTTATGCTTATATTTTACAGATAAAAATTTTGCGACACAAAGCAATGCAAGTTTCACTACCATTTTATAAAATTTTTTTTAAATTCTAAGCAGTACTTTTCTATCATACAATAGGCCTGATGCAATCCTACACTTCAACCATCCAATTTGAATTCTACTAATAACATCCCCATCTATATCACCACACTTTGAACAATATCCTGAGATATCTAAAATGTTCATTCTTTTTAATGACTTGATTACGACCTCAACACTAGATCTATTACCACTAAAATGACATTCCATGTATTCAGTTTTAAATCTACTCCAACGAAAGTCTTTAGACTCTTAGGTTGACCTCCATAATTCATGTTTTTTCTAAACTCCCTCTCTAGTCTAATCTACAAGAAGGATGTCGTTGGCAAAAGACATACACCAAGGTAAATTCTCTTGGAAATGCCCTGGAAGCAATCCATAACTAAAACAAAAAGATATGGGCCTAAAGCAAATACTTGATGTAATCCTACTAAAATAGAAAAATATATGGTCAATCCTCATTGTGTTCGAACACAATTAACAACTCTAGTATGCATATATTTAATGACCAAAACAATTTTTTCCTTAATTATTACCATTTCTTATCAAACAACTTAAAACTAAATCAAATATTCTCAAAATGAAAATCTCTAGTTCTAATAACCTCAAAGCAAACTCAATTTGTGTATAAAAGAACATGAGAAATTAGGATTATACCTAATTCTGATAAACTTTCCTAATCCTTTCCTACATTTCTTCCTCCTAAATTTCCTTCTACCTAACATCCTTCAGCTTGCTACTGTTCTGACTTGGGATGGTTTATGGGAGAAATTGGAAAGAAGAAACGACTAATTAACTCTTTTGGTTATATATATATATATATATATAAGTTAAAAAAATTGATCTGAGAATTTTAAAATTATCCTGCACCAAATGTCTGTTTTAGTGGATTTTTTTGAGGCTTCTGTAATTTTTATAGCAAGTGGTGTCATTGCCTGCTACAATGACTTTGCTATAGTAACTTAAACAAAATTTCAGAAAATTGATTTATGTAAAAACTAATAACTTTTATATACTTGAAAATAAAGATATGCTTCTACACATTAAATTGAAATATAAACAAATTAAATAACTTTTTGTATGTTTGAACATATATTTCTGCACTTCACAATGATCATAATGAAATTTAGAATGTTATGTAAACTTTTTTTAAAATTTTTTTTTCAGTATTTTTGTTGTTAAATAAGGGAGGCTAGTTGATTAGGTTTTTGGGCTATAATTTGGTTCTTAGACAAGTTAAGTTAATAATAATATGCCAAGCAGCCCATGTGTAAGAATTTTGGACTCTCTTGACATTGTATTTCTTAGTTTTTCTATCTCCAAAGTCTTGACCTTTTGTAGACAATGTAATAAACAACAATTTTTCCTTAATTATTGCCATTTCTTATCAAACAATTTAAAACTAAATCAAATATTCTCAAAATGAAAATCTCTAGTTCTAATAACCTCAAAGCAAACTCAATTTGTGTATAAAAGAACATGAGAAATTAGGATTATACCTAATTCTGATAAACTTTCCTAATCCTTTCCTACATTTCTTCCTCCTAAATTTCCTTCTACCTAACATCCTTCAGCTTGCTACTGTTCTGACTTGGGATGGTTTATGGGAGAAATTGGAAATAAGAAACGACTCATTAACTCTTTTGGTTATATATATATAAGTTAAAAAAATTGATCTGAGAATTTTAAAATTATCCTGCCACCAAATGCTGTTTTAGTGGATTTTTTTGGGGCTTCTGTAATTTTTATAGCAAGTGGTTAAATTAAACAAAATTTCAGAAAATTGATTTATGTAAAAATTAATTTATTAACTTTTATTTACTTGAAAATAAAGATATGCTTCTATACATTAAATTGAGATATAAACAAATTAAATAACTTTTTGTTTGTTTGAACATATTTTTCTGCACTTCACAATGATCATAATGAATTTTAGAATGTTATGAAAACTTCTTTAATTTTTTTTTTCAGTATTTTTGTTGTTAAATAAAGGAGACTAGTTGATTAGGTTTTTGGTCTATAATTTGGTTCATAGACAAGTTAAGTTAATGATAATATGCCAAGCGACCCATGTGTAAGAACTTTGGTTTAGCCTGGATCTTATGATCTTTTGTTGATCAGGCAGATTTTTCTTGAAGTCCTTATCTGCTAGTTGAATAGTTCTTTATAGTCAATTAATCTGGCGGTCTTGTTTATACTTTTTGTATATCTTGGTTTTTGTTTCATCCCTTGCATCATGGCATGCTTTGTTAGATGGTCATTCTTGTTTAATGTTAGTTCTCTGTCATTTTCCTTTTTGCTTCCTGAAATTATAGATTTTTTGAGGCAATTTGATCTTCATAATCTTGTCCATTTGATACATGCTTTATTTGCAGTCTAGTTTCTTGGACCAACACAATTGTTTGAATTTTAAAAACCATAATATTGATTCTCTGGTGAGTTGATTACTCTTTATTTATTAAACATTTTTCTTTTCTTTTCCTTTTTTTTATTTGCACTGTGTTAACTTATAACAGTATATGTTTTAGAGTTCGTACAAAATTCAAGTTAGTTTGTGCGCTCAAGAGGTAGGAGCTAGAGAGAGGTCACCTTACGATTCTTATACTTATAATGATGTTCCTGCATCAACATTACCTCACATTATCAGGTAAAATGTTTACTATATCAGTAAAATTGCAATGTTGTACATGTTTTTGTTTACTGAATTTTCTCAAATATATGCCCGTTCTTCTTCCCTAGTTATCTGCTATCACAGTTTCATTGATTTGCTTTTCTAGACATCTGTGTGCATTATTCCTAAACTTAAGCATTTAATATACAGGAAGAATGCTTATATTTTATTATACTAAGGAACGATATATTAGGTTAAGATGATGGACTTGGAAAGGATTCATTTAGAATGCGTTCCATTGGCATCCTGTGTATTATATCAGCTTAATTCTATTTATTTTCTTCTGTTATTCAGTTGGTTTGAGCTGCCAAAATAAAGAACTATCTTTGCACATAAACCTCAGGGAACTAAATTTATGTACATACTTCAATGCTGATCAAGCTTTTTTAAGATTTTCATTGATGAACCACTCTGACGTTTGCTATAATTTTCATTTGTTAAAATAAACTGAATTCCTCCAAACATGTTTAAATTTGTTCTCGGAAAGAAGCCAATTTTTTCTTAGATGTTTATCAATAGTACGATTTGTTGTACATCTTTTTTCCAGTATGCTTTTATGCTTTGCCAAAGCATCCTAGAATTTATATGAATGTGCATTCCTTGCATCGTGGCCTACAATCTAGTTTCTTTTGTAGAGGTTCCATGTCAAAGTTATTTATAAAGGAGAATAAGTCTTTCCACTCAATTGAACTATAGCTAACTCAAACTCTCTCTCTCCACTTTTTATTCATCTCTTTAAGCTTATATATATGTATTTATTATGAAGTTCCATGTGCATATAAACTGCATGTGAATTGGATTTATTCATTTTAATAGATTCAAATGTTTTGATAAGGTTTACTTGATCACTTAATAAAAAATAACAACATGTTGACTAAGTGATTGAGGCAAGCAATCAGGTTGATCATTGGGAATGTTAACTTATAAATAACTTGTTGCAGTCATTTTCTTGCTTCTTGATTGCTCAGGAAAAGTCAACTTAGATTTGGAGGCCTCCTTGATGTGTGAGAACTTGGTAGTTTTTCTTGAGGTGCATCAAATCTATTAACCAAAATTTCCCAAGGTTCAATAAATTTTGTTTAGATTTTTTACTGCAATCCCCCAAGTTAATTATTACTCATTTGAGGAGCACACTTTTGATTGAGGTTCCTTATGTCCACTTTTTGGTTTATATTTTAATGTTTATGTTTAAATTTGGTAGGTTGGAAAATAGTTGGAGAATGGAGTTAGTGGGTTCAGACCTAGACGAGTAACCCAACTTCCAATTTAGCCTTTTCTTGTCTTTCTTTTTTTTGATTTTTTTTTCCTTTTTTTTTTCAAATTTCTTTATATCCTATTTTTCCTTTTTCTAAGCTGGGATTCTACCTTAAGGTGCAATTTTTATGTTGTTTTTTATTTTGGAAGATTTTTGATTTATTTTGTATTTTAGAGATTATATCTTTGATTTATACCTTTATTGAGTTTTATATTATTTTATTTTTGCAAGTGGTGTGTTTGTAGCTTGTGCAAGAATTGATGGTAAATCTCCTTGACATCTGTACCTCGTTGTTCGATGTTATCTTTGTTGCTCTCAATTAGGACAACTAACGAGCCATATTTATCCTCATCCAAACTTTGTCAAACTCTCATATTCTTTTGCCCTTGCCATTCCACAACCTCTTCCCCACAAAACTCGATTCCTAATTACGTTTTCTTATGAATCTATAAAAAAAATAATAAAATGAATGCATAAACATTTAAGTTATTTAGTATCTAAATTTTATAAATTATTAACCTGCTCGAAGACACTTCAATTTCTGTTACAGTCAGCAATATTGCAAGTCAATCCTAATATTTTGACAGCCAATTTTTGTAAAGATGGAGTCGATGCACCATACAATTCACATCACTCTGTTGTAATTATAACATCATGTTAAACAAAAAAGTTATTTAATTAAAAATTGAAAATCAATTAAAATTTTAATTAATCTTACTCAATGTATTGTTATTTCTGATGCAGATGTCATACTCAGTTGCAAAAAGACCACTAGCATGATTATAAGTAAATAACTCTTTATATATTGTCATTCTTTCATTTGGATCTTCCACTGACGTGCTAATAATAACATATATATATGTCCTCCAATGATATATCTGATTGTATCTTTAGACTCATTTTTATAAACAAATTACAGATTAAGATAATATCCAACTTGATGCAATGGTTGCCAGAGTTGATACTTCCATCTGTTATCAATAATACAATAGATTTATTCATATTTCTTTTCATTTCTTTTAAATTCACCCTTGATTGCTTCTTGATTTTGTTTATTGCATCATAAATATAATCCATTGTAGGCCACTTGTCATCGTCTACTAATTTTAACATATTCATAATTGGTTCTGTAACCTTCAACTGTAAGACATGCCATTGCAAATGCTAGATTTAAGGATGTTCTCCTTAGCCTTTTTCCTTCTATATTCAATACTAAATTTCGATTTATTTCAATCTTCTGAAACATACATATGTTTTACATTTTCTTTTTGCTTATATATGATGGCAAGAGTAAGAAATGAAATTTCAAAATGAGTGATTCTTGGTCCCACCATTTCTGCATCACTAATATATTTTCTCATCATGTTATGAACAAGTTTATGATTGTATATTTTACTCTAAAGTTTTTTTGATAATATTTTTCACTTAACCCATCTTTCTAATATCCTCCAACGTAAGATCAATATAACGTGTTGCATATGGTGTCCAAGACGTCTATCCTTTTTTTTCCATTAGTATTTAATCTACATAAATTAAAAAAAAGTTTTGATATTCTTTAATTTAAAGAAAAGTATAATATTTATACATTTAATACTAATAAATTATAGAATAAAATAAATTATAGACTTGTAAGAATATAGTTGAAGTGATTATTTGCAACGTCTTGAAACACACTTCTCACCAATTTTTTCTATTTATGCATCTAAGAGTTCAAATAGTTTCTCAACAGTTTTTGAATATTCTGATGTATCTATGGACTTCGAGAATGTAGTGCTTGAAAATGAATTAATCAAAAAATTAAGTATGGATCATTCTCTACGTCAGTTCATCTAGGCATAAGAGTGCATCTCTTATCTTCACAAAATTTTTTTTGATTTTCCATATCATTCATAGTTGACTATAATTTTTTTTCAAGTGGATGAACTTAACTCATGATAAGATGGTGCTCAAAGAGCTTGTCCATATTGTCAAATTGTTTCAACCATATGATCAAAATTCTTCAACTTCACCGCATTAAAAAAATTCTTGATTAATAAACTTCCTAGCGATATATTGTACAATTTGTTCTTAGATACTCTTATCCACATTTTTTTTTTAATTCCCTTTGCATTATATCTTTCCTTGTAGCAACTTTTCTTTCAGGTTCTTTATATTGAAAATCATGCATTGAATTTCTCATTTTAGATATGTCAATCTCTCTGGTTTAGAACTTGATTCAAATGCTCTTTTTCCACTTTGTAAGAGTTGTTGAATATATGTTCTTCAATTATATCAATTAACTTCTCACTATGTTCCGTATACAAATTCTATGTCGGTTTATTTACTTCTTGATAAGCAAACAACTCATCCCTTACATCAGAAGGTATTTTCTTATATTTAATAACATTACTTCTTTTAGATGTATTTAAATGACCAACCAAGTGCTCATTTGCTTGAGGTATATCCCCATTCGTCTCCTTACCACAATAAACATGTAAAGATGATAAAGAGTGCATTCACATTTTAATTTTCTATATTTTCAGGTTGAGTCTTTTCTCCTTATGTTTGAATCAGTTGTGCCTAAATTATTATTTCATACGCAAATAAATCATTAATCACAATTTACACATTTCACATTTTCACTCTTGTTGCAATAAAGTTTTAAATATTTCGACTTGAATGTAAAAAAATTGTATAAAAAATACAAATAATACTTTCTTTTCAAATATTATAAAAAATATATGAATAAAAATTTATACTTAAGTTATTTGCATGTGGGTTGGGTTTGATTGAAGGGCAAGTTCTATGAGGATGGTTCGCCAATGCTCTCGACATCTTGCCCCCTTTCTGACAAATAAAATTATTTTTTTTCAAAACATTGTTGGGGGCATTTTGATAGTCTCTTGTGATTTGCAGCAGAAAAAAGAAAGGGAGCAAAAAGAATATAAACATGTTGCTGGTTTCGAAGAAATTTAGTTTAATATCACATCAAAGTATCATTATTTTAACTTTTAATGGTGAGAATAAATAAATACATAAAAATTGGGTTATATGTACGTAAATCTCCTCAACGCCCCCGAACCCCCCCTAAAATCTTCTATTTACATTCTTACCACCCTTCGTTCGGTCAGTCAAATGTATTAAACCTTCTGCGGTTGAAGCTTGAAGCTTCTTTTGTGGTATTGTCGAAGGTTGAAGCCTCTATTGCGTTCGATTGGGAGAAGGTTGAAATTCTTGTTGTGTGGTTGAACTGTCTACTTTTTATGGCCTGTAGTTGAAGGTCTCCTGCGGTTGATGTCACAAGAAGAATGCAACATTCAAATATCTAGCTTGAAATCGAAATTGAAGACGATGCTCTCGCTTGAACTCTCAAACACTAGGCTCCTTCGAGCACCAGACTGAAATTTTAAGGTTTTATATTCTCTCGTTTGATCTTGAATTGGACCACTGACTCGCTCGCTTTATTACTTCAAAGCGGTCTCATGGTGTGTAGCACGCGCTTCGTCAATTAGTACCACATGAGAGTGAAGCCAAACGAGGGACATCAATTTTGCTTCGCATTGCACGTGAATATAAATATATATATATATA